GGTTACAGGAAACAAATGTATTACACAAGAGGGCAAAGGATAAGGCTAGACTATTAGAGCTCTTGGCTCTTTATTTTTTTTAAAGACAGGTTCTTGCTGTGCGTAGTCCAGACTAGTCTTGAACTCACTGTGTAGCCCAGGCTGGCCTCGAACTTGTGGCAGTCTTCCTGCCTCAGCCTCCTGAATGCTGGGATTACGGGAATATGCCACCATGCCCAGCTAACAATATATTGTTTAAGTATGTATACATGTGAGATATGAGCTACAAGTTTTACAATGAAAAGAAATAATAAATACAATAGTACTCATCTCTGGGTAGGAAGAAGATGGAACTGGGAAGAACATAAATAGATTCAAGTAATTTGCTATGTTCTAGTTTTGGGGTTGAGTGATAGGGTCACCACTATTCATTACAATAATATTACACTAACTTTATGTATTATATATGTGCATTCTTTTGTATGCAACAGGTATTATTAAAAACAGGCTAAAAATAAAACAGGATCGTTGACTTTTATTAGCTGTGTGACAATGGGCCAATCATTTCAGCCTCAGTTTGTTTAGGTAAAAAATGGAGATAACACCTTCACCTAACACCTGGAATCTGTGTGGTAAAAAATTAAGTGGCACATAGGCTGCTGTTGCTATCTAGTAGCAACTACTATTGTGTGAAGGGCTTTCAATGTATCAAGTAGAAAAATGAATCTGCAATGCAGGAGGTACAGAGTGGGAAGGCACAACATACCTCTGGTTAATGTTGAAACCCTGGAGTGGAAAAGATGGACATGGACATGGGAAATGTTCAGAGGAGACAAGTCTGCCAAGACAGACTAAAGGAGCTCTAGAGAAAGAGATTGAGAGCAAACAGTGAGAGGAAGCAGACAGGTGAGGAAAAGTGAGAAGAAAGTGCTTGTAGTGCTAATTTGCAGAGTGGAAAATGGAGGCTAAAGGAGATAATGGGCTTGGGAATGAGAATCACTAGAACTGTTTCAGTGAACCAGCTGAATAAGAAACAAAAGTGCAATGGACTTATTCATGAGTAGGAGGTGAGGAAATGAAGACTGGGAAAAAAGGAGAGCTCTTTTAAGAAGTTTAGAGGTAAAAGAAAGTTAGAAAAAGTAAGCTAGATGGTGGATGGATTGTATCTTCAGATGAAGGGAAACCTGACTGGTTATATGCAGAAGGGAAGGAGACAATGAAGACGATGGTATAGGAGAGAAAGGGGGACAACTGACTTGGCATCTTAGAGCAAGAAAAGATGAATTCTGGACTCCAGCAAAAGAAAGGTATAGATGAGTGCTTCACAAACCTTAAATGCATATGAATTACTCAGTTTAGGAAGTAGTTAAAATGTAGATTTGGAGTTAAGTCTGAGGCTATGCATTTCTAACAAGCTCCAAGCCAAGTGGCATTGATGCTACCTGTCCATAGACATACTCTGAGGAGTTAACTTTTCCTGTCACAAGAAGTGCATCTACAAATAAGTTTAGAGGAAGAGGGAGAGAAAATGTGGGAGTTTTTGCAATAAGTATACAGAAGCTACCTGGGACAAAGACAGTAGTGGGATGAAAGGAAAACCAAGCGAGCCGGTCTTCAGGCCCCTCAGTGATGGTGAGCAAGTGTGTGTGTCCCTGGGAAGGCATGGGCAATGACAGAGCTGATCTACTGGAGAAATGTCAGGAGGGGAGGATAGACAGAAGACAGAGGAAGGCTATGCTGGGTGAGAGAAAGGGAGGAAGAATTAGAATTAAAATGCTTTGAGAGTAATAACAGGTAACTGGGATGAAAAAGAAAAAAGTTGAGAGGTAAACAGATCTGACTTGATAGGCAAGAACTCAGATGAAATTAGTTTAGCTGAAGAGTAATAATATATTTTATGGGTTATTAAGATAATGTGACACCATTCATTTAGTTCTTATAAAGAAAATGCCCAGGTAGAAAATTTGCCTTGACTAACCATTTTTACAAGTGCAGACTTGCCTACCATGTTGAAGTTAAAAGTTTAACAGAAGTTAATGAGTCAAAATGGATACACTGGTTCCTATAGGCACTTTAAATATCAATATTCACATACTGCCTGAATATTTAAATACTCTCCATGGGTATATTAAACTACATACTGCTTCTGGGAAAGAAGCAGCAATATGTAATAACCTATTTTGAACATGACATTTATTTTGTGATACAAGAAATACAACTGTCAAAGTTCATAATTTCAATAATTTGCAATTTACCTAAAAAGACTCTGAATTTGCTAATGTTAGTTTATTTATTTATTTTTTGGTACTGGGGATTGAACTCAGGTCCTTGTGCTTGCACAGCAGGCGGCGAAACCACTGAGCTAAATCCCCAGCCCAGCCCAAATTAATCTTTTTTTTTTGGTACCGGGGATCAAACTTGGGACCTTGCACCTACAAGGCAGGTGCTGGAACCACTGAGCTACATCCCCAGCCCCGGTAATGTTAGTTTAAAAAAGAATAAACCTGTTCAGAGGTCTGAACTGACAGGCAGGTGTAATCCTCACTTAGCTAGCTCTGTTTTGTTCTCAGACTCAGGACCCAATCGCTTATTCAGGATTTGTGAGCTGATGCACACAGCAAACTGCGAATACATCTCCACCCGCTAACGCAATGTTTACTAATGCCGAGATATGAACACAGATTCTGAAGCAAAATGTCTTCTGCATTAACAGAGACAAGAGAGATTACACATATATCCTTACCCCTTCGCTGGTTTTTTGCAGGTCTGAAGCTGTGTTTCTTGTGTCATTGCCGGGATCTCCACCTTCAGAGCTGCTTTTGTTTTCCTCTTCTTTGCAGTCTTTATCATCTTCATCGCCTGGAGATTTCCGGGATTGTTTAGAGGATTTCTAAATGTTTAGACAAGTTGAAAATTATAGTCAAAAGCACAAAATCCAAATGTCCTGGCATAAGTAAGAGATGCAGAAGTAGTGGGCTTGTATACTATCCTTGCTATACACAGATACAACATGCAGCGTGCCAAGGCTGAGCTAGGTGACGCTGGACAAATTCCTTCACCTCACCAGGGCTCAGTCTAACCAGCTGGAAAGGAAGAGGTTGATTAGATGATCTCTTACTTTTTTCCAAAAGTGTGATATTAATGGTGGAAAATAAAGATTTATGTATGCACAATAGTCAACGGTTAAATCTAGCTGCGTGAACAACACCGTAAGAAGGCCACAGAACTGCAAGGCACCTTAAAGGTCATTTTGTCCTTCCCCTCTATTTTATTCTCTATATTCCCCTCTATTTTATTCCCCTCTATTTTATTGTAGTGGAAATCCAGAGAAGTGAGGTGAACTTTCCAAGACAGTATATGGACATTCATGTTAGAACACCTGTTGAAGTTTCTTGCTTAGGGTATACATGGAAATATCTTGACAAAACTTTTATATCCTTGTGATTATGAATCAGCTTTAATTTTTTAAATTATGATAGTTACTGAACCCCAGGCTACACTGGTGAACCAGTCCTTTCTTCTTGTCATCTTGCATTTGAAATTAGGATGAACTCTATGAAAATACAATTATGGTTTCCAGTAAGAGCTGCTCAGCAGAACAGCATTGAAGTGATAAAAAGCTGGCTCCAACTGTGCACCTTATGTAAGACAGTAAAATGTAGCATTTTTTGTTTTTAACATTTCTTCTTTAAGAAATTTTTTTTTTGGTACCGGAGATCGAACTTGGGACCTGGCGCTTGCGAAGAGGCAGGTGGCAGCACCACTGAGCTAAATCCCTGGCCCTTCTTTAAGAAATTTTAAGAATCTTAAGCATACTGCAAATAAAAGATAAGGCAAAACTTGTGTAGGCAAGTCACTTTTGGTCTCCAGAAATGAATTAGCAAATTAAAACTTTCTCAGACAATCAATTTTTAAAAATGCAATTTCTAAAGAGAAAATATCCTCTAGGTTTGTGATAGAATATATAATCAAACTGCTTGTATTTTATTCAAATACAACCACCAAGCAAGTCCAAAGTGTCACTTTAAAATGCAGTCATTTTTACTTTTTAAAGGGAAAAACAAAGATTTAGTAATACAAATGTGCAGTGTCTAGAGTTAACTAAGCTCAAGAATGAAAAAAGTGAACTGTTTTGTTTTAGTAAATATAGCTTAATTGTTAAAATGCGACAGCTGCCTTATGCAATAATTTTCATGTAACAGTACTAAAATTTGTTTGTAAAGGTTATTTCTGAATAACCTTATAAGTGAGTCTCTAATATTATAGTTGGTATACGTAGACTGGAGTGAAGGGATTATTATGTTTTTACTAATGAGTCATAATATTCATTATTTTCCTAAGAAATTGGGCTGCCAAACTGTAACCTTGCAGAGCTCTTGAGATCACAGAATTCTTGAAAAAAATTTTAAAAATCACTGTTTAAAATAAATAAAAATTAGTGTGATCTTGGGGCCGGGGATTTAGCTCAGTGATTTTGCCGCCTGCTGTGCAAGCACAAGGACTGAAGTTCGATACCCGGTACAGACCCCCCCCCAAAAATTACTGTGATTTTAAATTCACTATCCATCCACTTGTTGCTATCTTTGTTTTTAAACTAAAACTACTGGTGTTTTAACATCATGTTTAATTTTCTGTGAGACTGATAAGGCTTACTGTATATGTAAATTGTATCAAGGGCTGAGGATTTAGCTCAGTGGTTCTGCCACTTGCCTCACAAGCACAAGGACCCAAGTTCGATCCCTGGTACCAAAAAAAAAAAAAAATAATAATAATAATTTGTGTCAAAATATATTTGAACAATAATTTTCTAGTACCTGCTGTAGTTCAAATATGAATCATTCATACCTTTACTGCTAAAGAAATATACAACTACCCTCAAATCTGCTATACTGTGATTTTCATTGTGATTACTGAGTTTTTATTTTTTAAATTATTTATTTATTTATTTATTTTGGTACCGGGGATTGAATTTGGGTCAAATATGAATCATTCATACCTTTACTGCTAAAGAAATATACAACTACCCTCAAATCTGCTATACTGTGATTTTCATTGTGATTACTGAGTTTTTATTTTTTAAATTATTTATTTATTTATTTTGGTACCGGGGATTGAATTTGGGTCCTTGGGCTTGAGCAGCAGGCGGCAAAACCACTGAGCTAAATCCCTGGCCCCTTTATTCATTCATTCATTCATTCATTCATTCATTCATTCATTTATTTATTTTTGGTACCAGGCTGAGCGTTTTTCAAACCCACGTTCTCGCCAATGGTACACATATGACTGTCCCATCAGGTGGTGTGTACCACCCAATGGAACTGTCCCATGCTGCCCGATGGGACAGTCATGGATATAGTACTGGTGGTTCCACATTATGGCCCTGTTGTGAACATGTTAACAGAAAAACAGAGTGAGGCAGAGGGTTTGGGACCTTTCTTCTTCGCCTGATACGTTTTTAAAAAGTTTATAAAACTTGTAGTTTTCAATGCAAAGCAAGACCTTTTTGTTAAGAGATAGACATAAAAAAAAATCAGCATACTCAATAAAAAGGAAAATATTTAGAAAGGCAAAAAAGTAATGGAAGTTATGCTAGGTAAATTATCCTCTAGGTGTAGTTCCCATATCAGCAGCATCAGCCTCACCTGAAACTTTGATTCCCAGACCCTTTGGCTTCACAGTTTGTGGCTGGAGAACAGGCAATCAGACAAGTGTGAGGAACTCCAGATAGCTGGAGATAAAACACAGATCTCCACACAGAGCCGGGGTGTATGCCAGTGAAAAGTAAATTAGAAAAAACAAACAACAACAAAAAACCTATCCCATAAAGAGAGATTGCAAGGAAAACTATCTGTCTTGGTTCTGCCTCTGGAAGGAAGAAATCAAAAAGGATCCCCTAGAAGCCACAAGGAGACCTTCACATAGTAATGGAGTTTATATTCACTTTATGTTATACAAAAAACCACAGTGGTACCTCGGTTCATGAACTTAATTCTTTCCATGATTCAATGTTGACCTTATGAGGAAATCTGAATCGGTCCTCATCCAGGGTGGAGAGAATTGAGTTTGTGCCCAAGATAACACTGTAATTAAGAATAATGAGTCATGGTTCTGGGTACTTGCCTAACATACATGAGGACCTGAGTTCAATTTCCATCCCTGAAAAAAATAAAGTCATAGTTCTCAAGTGATCATGGAGGTTATGACCTTGAAGGAAAACAAAGGAAATGACCCTTTAAAATAGATAAACGTTATTAAGTGAAGTACGTGTTTTCCCTTCACTTCAATAATGGCATTTAACATTCATGTAATCACACATTAAAAGTCTAGGTAGCTTAGATAATTCAGGGGTACACAACACATTACATGGGCTGAGCAGGCAATCATAAATAAAAGCAATTCAAGTGGGTGTTTAAGTGAAGCCCAAAATGGGCAAAGAAATGCAGCTTAAAAGTAATTGCAAAAGAAGATACAATCCGATAGGGAAAATTCTAATTATTCTGTTGTCTTTTGCAAATTATATGCCTATCCTAGGCAACCCCATGCTTTTCAATGGGTGCATAGGAATAATACTGCACTCACACAATTGTATCTGCATGACAGCTGGGTAGATTTCACAGACTGCCAAAATAAAATTTTAAGAGTCTGATTACTTATTTTTAAGAAGTTCCCTAAGTATATCCAGTCTAAATTCAAGAATCTAAGGAGAAGTAACTTCTCCAAGTATTCAGTCATGTGACAGGACAGAAACTTGAACCAACTAATCTATGGTCTTGAAAGACTCATTTATCTTGCTTCAGTTTCTAAAAAGTGAACAAATTTTCATAATCTCAGTCTTTTCAATTGCATTTCTGAACTGAAACCTAGACTTTCAATTTGTAAATGTAGTATCACATCACTGTTGTTTAAAACCTTATTGTTAAACTGGGATAAAATCTAAACTTCATAGTATGGCCTACAAGTCTGTATTACTTGGCCTTTGCCTACCTATGATTGTGATTCTCCAGTGATATCTGCCTTCTTTCAATTTAGGAACATGCTAAACATTTCCCTGCCAAAGTTTGCAGCTGTTTCTTTCTCTTTGCCACACACATTTCCTATAGAAGGCTTCTCCTTTCATACCCTTCTCTCAGGTCTCAGTATAAGCTTGACCTTTGCAGAAAGGTCTGGCTACCGTTTTGAAACAGGTGCTCCTACCTGTCACTTGCTGCTTCCATTCATTTACTTCACAGTCCTTTCACAATTCATAGTTACTTAATTAGTTTTTTGTTTACTGTGTGCCCCATTCCATTGTATTGTAAGTTACAAGCGGGTAGGGACAGAGATAGATTTACTCACTACTGTGGTTCAGTGTCTGGTGTGGACTATGTGATCAGAAAATATAAGAACTCAGAAAACAAAAAGCCAAAGCACATTCTCTGAAGCAGAGACAAGAATCTGTTAATTACATATATGGTATATATATATATATATATGCATCATACTGTCTCCTATATTCCTAAATTCTTCAGATCTCATCTGGAGGTTATTGTAGGAGGCACAGATACTTATATATTCTATCCTTAAATAAAGAACAGCTCTCTTTCAACTAAGAAGGTGGCATTTTCAGGACCAAGTCAGCCCTTAAGAGTTAATAGCTAGACTGCTTTAACATCATGGGCCGGGGATTTAGCTCAGTAGTTCCGGCGCCTGCCTCGCAAGGTCCCAAGTTTGATCCCCGGTACCAAAAAAATAAAAAAATAACATCTAAGGTTACCTGTCTGACTCCCTTTGCTCTACTACTGTCCCTAAAGGCAGAGGTTTCACAGAATCTACTATATATTTCTATGTGTCCAGTAAAAAAAATGAAAAGAACCTAAAAACTTCTAATGAATGTGCATGTAACAGTAATAACTACAGGGAGTTTCTCAAGTAACCTTTGAAGTGTATGACTTTTTCCGTTTTGAGCCTCCTTTTTCATTCTTTCTTTTGCCTTTTCCATCTTCTTCTACTCTGTCACCTTCTTCCTCACTGCTTGCATCTGCAGTATTTCCACCTTCTCCCTCAGTTTCTGATGAGCTCTGTTGCTGAATTGCCTAAGGAAAAAAAATCAGCTAATTACCTTTTTGAAAAAATAGCAAGAACATAGGCTGTGAAAATAAGCACTCTATTGTAATTTGAAAGGGTTTTACTTTTTCTGAAGTTTTTCAAAGTAAAGGACCAAGAGACGAGGGCCACATGCCAGACAGCTGTAATCCCAGCTATGCAGAAGATGGCTTCAGCCAGGAATGTAAAAAGGTGAGACCCTCCCTCAATCGGTCAATCAGTGGCCAAACTCAACTTTTCAGTGGCCACTTGATTTGAACCCTTCTGGGTAAAAGAGATGCATTTAGCCCAAAATGCTACTAGAGCCAAAAATAATTCTGACTTCAAAAGGATGAAAAGTAACTATTAGTATAAAGGACATATTACAAAAATATTAAAAAGAGATAAAACCAAGGAAATGAGATATAGCAAGTGCCAATGAAGTAAACCATTACCTGGTAACCAGTAAACTTTACTCCTGGGTTATTTTCTATTTCCCACAATCCTTCATTAAATCCTTTCCGTTTGTTTGACTTTCCAAACTTGTCTTTGTATTCCTTATATGGAAAAAGATCTTTGGGACCTAGAAATGCACTGCAGAGAGATGTTAGAATTGACACGCTGACCTTCAGACAGAAGATACCTTAATTCTAAATACTGAGGTATTGGAGCACAGTATAGAAAGGAAATTGAAAATCAGGCACATGTCACAAGATGTTTTAGATACACACTTCAAGTTAAAAAAAAAAAAAGGATCTTTTAGTATTCAAGCTGGCAAACTAGGGCCATGCTACTTTGATTTTATATTCATTCCTTCATTCATTGATTGGTTTTTTTGAGACAGGGTCTTGCTTTGTAGCCCAGGGTGGCTTGAACTCATGGTGATCCTCCTACCTCAGCCTCCTGAGTGCTGTGATTACAGGTGTGCACCACCATGTCTGGCTTATTAGTGTTTTTAAAAGCACCAAGCAATAAAAAATCAGAAGTGGTAAAGTAAACATAATCTTATCCAATTTCAACTTTTTAAAACATTAATCATAACCATAAAAATGAGTCAGAATAAATTCTGAAGTTGGCTAATAGATGTATGTATTTGAAACAGAATCTTTAGTAGTATTATCTATGACCTTAACCTGGTAAATGAAACTATGGAAGCCCAAAATTTGGCTGACACCCTGAAGCTTACATTTCAAGCTAAGATTTATTTATTCATTCAACAAATAATGATTGAATATCTATAATGTGTCAGGCACTGTTTCAGAGGTTCTGGGAATTCTATAGGGAACAACATCTCTGCCTTCATGGAGCACATGTTCTAGTGGTAAGATAATAAAATGATTAATAAATAAACATATAGTATGTCTACTAAAAAAGAAAAGGGAAGAGAAGACTGTGGGAAGGACTAGGGGTAAATTTTACAATTTCAGATATGAAGCTCAGGGAAGAGCTCACCTACAAGGGACCATCTAAGGAAATAACTAAGGGAGGCGAAGCTGGCTGCAGGAAGAGCATGTACAAAGGCTCTGAGGTGGGAGATGCCTTCTGTCTCTGAAAAAGAGAAGTGGCTCCACTGTTGCTCTGTACTTTCTACACCCTTGACTCTGTATATAGGAAGTAACTGTGGGCTATGCTGCCTAATGGTGCCGGCTGTTGGCTACTTGTACTAGCCAGAGCTCTCATGGACTTTAATAATGAGAATAAGGTCAGGGTGAATGGGTCCAATTTAATAAGTTCTGGCCTTCTATCTTTTTATCTTTTTTTTGTTTTTTTTTTGGTACCAGGGATCGAACTCCGGTCCTTGCGCTTGTGAGGCAGGTAGTAGAACCTTTATAAAAATTCATTAATTTTATTGGTACACTTTAGGTATACAAAATGACATTCATCATTGGGAATTTGTACCTTCACATGATATTATCTTGGTTTTTATTTTTTTCCCCATTCCCCTGCCCTCCCTTCAACCCCCCCACTCCTCACTCCCATTTACAAAGACTTTGTTTCCATTTTTTCCTTTTCTCATGTTTATTCCTTTCCCCTACCATTCCCACTTCCCTTTTGGACCTTTTCTTCCCATTTCACATTATCTATTACACATTTTGATCCTTATTTACACTTTCAGTTTCTCACACCAGAGAAACTATTCAGTATTTACACATGTATTCTATTTACTTCACTTAAGAGTATTGCCTCAATGTGCATCCATTTAGCTATAAATGTCTCTAGTTTCTCATTCTTTATGGCTGAGTAGTACTCCATTTTATAAAAAATCATTTTTCTTTATCCAGTCTCCAGTCGATGGGCAACTGGGCTGTTTACAAGTTTTAACTATTATAAACTGTGCTGCTATGAACATGGGTGCACATATATTGCTGTGGTATGATTCTTTTAATTCTTTTGGGAAGATACCCAGCAGGGGAACAGCTGGGTCATATAGGACCTCTAATCCTAGTTTTTTGAGGTATCTCCATACTGATTTACACAGTGGTTGCACCAGTCTATACTCCCACCGACAGTGGAGCAGTGTTCCTTTTCCCCCACAACCTGGCCAGTATTTGTTATTGGTTGATTTTTTGATAGCAGTCATTCTTTATCTTTTTTTTTGGTACCAGGGATTGAACTTGGGTCCTTGCGCTTGCGCAGCAGGCGGCGAAACCACTGAAGTAAATCCCCGGCCCTTTATGTTTTTTTTTGTTTTAACTGGAGATTGAATGTAGGGCCTTCCCACTGAGCTATATACACAAGATTTTTATTTTGAGACAAAATCTTGCAATTCATTAAGTTGCCCAGCCTGGGCTTCAATTTGTGATCCTCCTGCCTCAGCCTCCTTGAGTGCTAGGATTATACGCATGTGTCACTATGACCGGCATCTTGTTCTTTAATATCACCTTTAGATGTATGAGATGCATCTCTCAAGGCTACAGAGACTAGGAAGCATTCTCTTATGAATAGGTGATACATTTTTATTTTCATTCACCAGGAATGACTTGAACAACTGGCTGTGTTAGCTGTTGCCAGAAAGAGAGACTGTGAATGAACTATTCTAAGACAAGTTTTGTTTTTGATAAACAACTCTGCCTTTTTCCTGGATTACTGATTATGTCATAAACCTAATTTCTTCTCAACTGGTTAACTTTGCTGTATATTTTTCAAATCTTAGAGGTTAGGGGAGAAAATAAAATTGTTCAAATCTATATGCTCTCAGGATTATATTATTTCTAGCAAAGGCTTCACAGAAAATTGTCCAGACTAAACCTACTGGAGTAATGTCATATAGAAGAGAATTTGAATTTCCAATCACTTATCCGCCTTGGCATGAACAGATTCAATGTCGTGTTTTGAAAAAAACTGTGGTCCTCCTTAGGGTAACGCTCTCAGCTGACCTGAACATAGCATTTTTGTTAAGTTTCTCACCTTTCACATACTATCCCTCTCTTCATTTATTTCATTTAATTAATTTTAATTCACTCAACAGCTATTCTGTAGAATGCCTATGTGGGCCACATGGTGGACTAAATGCTGTGTATGTAAGAACCCTGACACAATCCCTGAGAGAAGGGGTCAATATAATTCTAGGTTCAGGGACACCCCACACTCAGAACAGTTCAGCAGAAAACAATGTTACTGCAGGGTTTTGGAAGTTCATTCTCTTCCAGATATTTTAAAACTTTGCCTCTGAATGGTCAAACCAGAACCCCCCCCCCAAAATCCCACATATGAACAGTATCATATGATCCTTGGTAGAATGGCTTTTATTGAATTCAGTCTTGGAATGATGCCATAAACTTACATTAAGGATGCTATAAGAGATAGCTCTATAAAATCCTTTACACTGTTCACTGGAATGATTCTGCTGCATTCATCAGTCATTATCTACCAGGACACAAGCTCTTTAAGGGCATTTAAAATTTTTTCAGTGCTGGGCCGGGGATTTAGCTCAGTTGGTTTCACCACCCGCTGCACAAGCGCAAGGACCCAAGTTCGATCCCCAGTACCAAAAAAACAAAAGAAAACAAAATTTTTCCAGTGCCTTACAGAATGCCTAGAAAATATGTTTATTACAGGACTGAGAGTAAACACAGTGTTAGTAAATGGCTGATTTTGGTGCACACAGTGGCAATGTCATGGTTTTGTTTATTACATCTTGCCTTGTCCCGGAACACAATCAGATCACTTAGATTTAAGGTATCCTAATAAAAAATCCTAACAAGAGTATATACATAAAATGGCCAGGAATGAGGCAAACATAAAAATATATAATCACAAAGTCCTCTGTATTTATTATAAGTAAAACATTGACTTCTAAAAGCCTTCCAGCAACCTAAGGAAGAAAACATGAGGAGCTGCATATAACACACCGCATATTAGATGAAAATAGGGATGGGAGTGGAGCTTAATGGAAATGTACTTTCCTAGAATGCTTGAGGCTCTAGGTTCAATGCCCAGGACCAAAACAAAATGAAGGCCCCCCTCCCCCCATAACAAGACAAATGATAGGGCCGGGGATTTAGCTCAGTGTTTCTGGTGCCTGCCTCACAAGCGCAAGGTCCCGAGTTCTAGACCCGGTACCAAAAAAATCACAACACACACACAAGACAAATGATAACCAAAAAACTAACTTTCTGAAAGATACAAGTATTTCTTACATGAAGAAGGAAATTTGTCTTGGGAACCCTCTCCTGGCTTTTTCAAAACAAAACTGAGGAAAATGTCAGAGCAGCAGAGACAAAATAAGAAAGGGTTTATGCCAGGTTCTACTAACACACAAATGAAAAGAGAGAATGACTCTGAATTTAAAGACTTACGAGGGTTTTTTTTTTTTTGGTACCGGGGATTGAACTCGGGTCCTTGCGCTTGTGAAGCAGGCGCCGGAACCACTGAGCTAAATCCCCGGCCCACCATGTTTTGTTTTTATAAATAACCATATACATTCTTAAATATCAGATTGCCAACTGTCCCCCAGTATCCATTCTCTTCTTTTTTTCATTAATGGATTACTTCTCCCAAGTTTTTAGCACTGCCTAGCTAGAGATGTTTTTGCAGCTTCTCTTGCAGCTAGATGTGGTGACATGACCAAGCTCTTGCCATGGAATAAATGCAAGTGGAAGTCACATACACAACTTCCTGTCATTTCCTTGTAAGAAATTACTTGCATTTACTTCTTTTTTCTCCTTTCCTCTTCCTGCAAAATGCACATGTACTGGCTGAGTTTTTTTTTTTTTTTTTTTTAATTAAGCAGACAAGGGCAACACCAGTGAGTGATAAGCCAAAAGAGAAGGAAGCCGGGAATCCAGAGTGAGAACTTTATCCATCTTGATCTTCCTACCACTGGAATATTTCAAAAGAAGGGAATAAATGTCTATATTACTGGAGCCTGTATGTTAATTAATACAGGTGGAAGACCTTTAAAACATGTGTTTACTTAAGGGTCCAGCAAGTTGAATAAGCCTCATAACTTTGTTCTCTGAAATATGAGGGAAGACCTCCAGATGATGAGCAATATTTAAGTAGAACTATAAATGACATCCAAAAGCAAAGGATGTGCTTTTAGTCATAAAGACTTCTATGAATGAAAAGTCTCTGCATTAGGAAAAAACACATTTTAAGCTTAGAACTTTATATAACTGATTATAATGACTTTAACAACATATAAACTTTTATGAATAATTTATAAACAATGGAGTCTGGCAGAGTCAAATTAGAGCACTTGCAGCTTTACATTATTTTGTTGACTTACGTTTCATGGGTGCCAAAAAAGAAGATAGGATACTTGTTTGCTGGAGGCTTCACAGCTCCCTCTGGGAGTTCATCAATCTATTAAAGATAAATGTAGCTATTACATTGTTACTGTAAACAATATAAACATTGTTTTGGTTATTGCTAATAAAGTTAATCAAAAGCATAATCATTTTTCTTTTATTGAACCTAACAAAATGACTGTAAAGGTCATGTTTGGCCTATCACATATTAGTTAAAATTGTATATTTGTTATAACCATTATGATAATTCATAGGCAGGAGCAAAAATTCTTTGACCCAAAAAATTACTCCTGGGGGTTCTGTCCTAGTAAAATAATTAAAAATAACAGTAACAGCAAAGAAATTAAAATATGTTCTTTTTTGAGTAACAGTGAATTTATAGATACATATAAATCTAGAAATATACATACTGTAAAATAGAAAAATTAATGTGATGAAATATTATGTGGTCATTAAAAGACATCACCTCTTGGCTGGACTATTACAAGCCTCTCCCCCAACCCATTTAAGCTACAATTAGCTTTTAAAATACACATTTGGTTATGTCACTTCCTTGTTTCAAACCCTTCTATAGCTTTTCATTGGTTGCAGCATTCCTAGCTGTACAGATGAGTTACTTCTTAAGCTTTAAGAAACAGATACTTCACCCTTTCTCAGACCTACCAATTCCTATTTACTGCTGAGGGTGAGGACTTTTAATAGCATAAAGTCTACATTCCTTAGAATATCATATAGTTACATGTACATTATTAGTTAGAATGTCTCAAGACATGGTCTTAGGCCAGTCCAAATTCCTGTGACTCTTCTCTTCCCGTGTCATGATTCAGCAATATGAAACTACATGGAATTGTTTATAAGCATAATAATTTCTTTTACAGCCTTTTCTGATGGTTGAACTCATCTTTCAGACACATACTGTTTAGTTGTAAAAGTGAGTATTTATTTACAGTTAGAAAATAAACTATAAGAAATTGCCAGCATTTTGCTGCTAAGAGCTCTTTAGGCAAGGTCCCAGAAATGCTTACCTAGAAATGCTTTCTAGCTATAATTTGGCTTCCCCTCTCTACCTGGAACAGTCTTAATTTTCAGCATTCACAGGGGTCTAGCAAGTGAGAGGCCCTGAACTGAAGCTTCACTAGCTTCATGGTAAATCTACTTGATGGCTATGTTACTTTCTGGAAGCCAGATCTGGGACCTGACTCTTGGTTACTGGCTTTTGACCTTAGGCTAGTCACTCAATTGCAGTTTCTTCATCTCTTTACACGTAGCTAATGATACACATCACTCACAGGGTTGCTGTGACCAGCAAATAGAAGGCAGTTTAGAATCACTGGCACACACCAGGTGCTCAATAAATGACAGGTAGTTGTTACTGTTATTCCTAACTATATAAGCTCCCCGAGAAAGAAATGCTCTTGCACTGCCTAACTTTCGTTGGGTGTTCTCTGACTTTTCCTCTCCTGTTCCTACCTACCTGGTATAGTCCAGCAACACAGCATGGCTCTATGCAGAGATACATTTTTGGTTTTGGTATCTTGAGATAGGGTCTTACTATGTAGTCAGGTTGGCCTTGAGCTTACCATCCTTCTGCCTTAGTCTCCTCAGTGCTGGGATTACAGGCATGTGCTACCATCCCAGCTAAGAGATATTTTTTTGTAGCTATTCTTTTAAAATATATTTTTAATAATGCATATTAATTTTACAAAATATTGGGTTTCAATGTGGTATTTTCATACATACATATAACACTGTGATCACATCCATCCCTTCTTACCCTCCTTTATAGCCCTCTTCCCCCACCCCCTTATTGTTTTCTGCTTGTCTAATAATGTCTCCCCTCTACTTTCACATAATCTGTTTTTAGATTTCACATATTAGGAAAATCATGATACTTGTGTTTCTGAGTTTAGCTTATTTTACTTAACACAATGCTCACCAGTTCCATCCATTTTCTTGCATATCACATAATTTAATTTTTCTTTATATATTACATTTTATTTACCCACTGATCTGTTAATGGGCACTAGACTGGCTCCATATTTGGCTATTGTAAATTGTGCCACAATAAACACGGGTATGCAGGTACCTTCATAATATGCTGACTTGAATTTCTTTGGCTATATATCCAGAAGTTAGGTATAACTGGGTTAAATGGTAGTTCTATTTTTAGTTTTTTGATGAATCTCCATACTGATTTCTACAGTGGCGGTACTAATTTACATTCACACTAAAAGTGTATAAGTGTTCCTCTTTCTCCATTATTATTGCCAGCTTTTATTGTTTTTTGTATCCTTGATGATAACCGCCTTGACCAGGTGAGATGGAATCTCAATGTAGTTTTGATTTGCAATTTCTCTAATGACTAAAGACATTGAACATTTTTTTTATAAACTTACTGGCTGTTTGTGTTTCTTATGAGAATTATCTGTTCAATTCATTTGCCCTTTATTGATTTGGTTTTTGGAGTTAAGTTTTTTGAGTTCTTTATATCTTCTGGATATTAATCCTCTGTTGGAAGAGTAGCTGACAAAAAGGAAAGACAAATTTTTAAAATAACCCCTTTTGTGAAGCTTTACCAGACTCTGTATGCTTCTATGGTTGTACTGTTTATCTAGTACTACCCTATTTTCAATTTATTCTCCATCAGATTATGAAATTCTGAATGTGGAAGTCATGTCTTATTAAAAATTCTATCACTCCTGCTATCACTTGGATATGAGTTAAGTATGTCTCACAGAAGTTCATGTGTTGGGAGCTTGGTTGCTGGTATGGCAATGTGAAGAGAGAGTAACTCTTAAAAGGTAGGCCTACATAAGAGAAATGCAAATTCAAGTAACACTGAGATTCCACTTTACTCTAGAAAGAATGGCTATCATCAGGAAAGCAAATAATAAAATGTTGGCAAGGCTGAGGGGAAAAAGGAACTCTTCTACATTGTTGGTGGGAATGTAAATTTGTACAACCACTATGGAAATCAGTATGGATAGCCTCAAAAAACTGAAACAAAATTCTATTTGACCCAGCTATTCCCCTTCTAGGTTTCTTCCCCAAAGAGTTAAAAGACATCACATTACAGTGGCACATGCATACCCATGTTTACACTGGCACAACACATAAGAGCTAAATCTCGGAAGCAGCCTATATATCCACCAACAGATGAATGGATAGTGGTATATATACACAATGAAATACCACTCAGCCATAAAGAAGGATAAATTTGAGTCATTGGTAGGAAAATGGATGCACCTTTAACATAATGTTAAGTGAAATAAATCAGACACACAAGCACAAATATGGCATGGGTTTTCTTATATGAAAAATCCAAAGTACAACTAATTTAAAAAGTGAAATAAAAGATAATATGAAATAGGAAGACAGATTTCCTACAATTGAAAGGTGAACTAGAGATGGAATGGGGTGGGAAGAAAGAACAAGAATTTTAAAAAGTTAAAATGTATTATGTAAATGTATTAAACCTCCATGATGAATATAATCAATATGTACAGCAAACATCATAAATAAACTAAAAGAGAGATGGGCCTAGTGAGAGGCTGTTAGATCATTGGCAGCATGCCTTGGGGAGGGGTTAAGGTACTTCTCATAAGACGCCTGAGTTAGTTCTTATGAAAGAGCACTATATTTATGTTTATGTTATATAAATATCAGGCATCTGAATCCCTCTCTGGCTTCATGTTCTGTCATGTGATCTCCCTCTCTTCTACATGTTCCACCATTATGACATTGTCTGTCATTATGTGATAAAAAGCCCAGAGAGGGTCTGCGCCATGTCTTCTGGACTTCCAGTCTCCAAAAGTGTGAGCTAAATAAGTCTCTTTCATTTACAAATTACCAAACATTAGGTCTGTTCTTATAATCACAGAAAACTAACTAATAATATACCTACTATCTAGAATAATCTCTGGCACACAGTGATTCTTAATTTTTGCTTTCATAATGCTAAAATTTCACTCACTTAAAAACGTGTCAGTATGAAAGTCCTATGGCATAATGTTAAGAAAATGAACACTTTATGTACACTATGATTACAATTATAGTACCTATTTCTATAGACAGGGACTAGAAAGAAATATGGAAAATGTAAATATTAAGTGTGAGGTAAGTGGTATTAAGGAAGAAATTTTTTCTCTTTTAAATTTCCCTTTTGTTGTCAAAGTTACAATTTGCAAGAAAAATTCATCCTTATGTGAAAAATTACAATTACCATTCTATAAACAAAACTTGCTATTTCTTTGCTGCTATTTAATAATATTCCTAAAGATATAGGCACAGACCATTTCATTGAGAAGTTAAGAACTTTTCCTCAAGATATTTCTGATTATTTAAAATTATGAGCAGAATTTCTGCTTCTGTGATGTTTGTTTGTGGCACCAAACTAGCCTGCGGGCTGTAAGCAGCCTCAAAATTAACAAGTAGAAGAGCTGTGTGTTCCTTAGCAGTGCATGTCAAATGGCACAAGACTATAGTACCCAGGAAAAGGTCATTGTCAGAGAGATTCAGGATTCCCTGGCTCATTGCTTTGGGACAATTTCCAAACTGTGATTTAACAAGCTGAATTCCAAGTAAAAGCGATAGAGCTGAACAGAGTATGAAGCAGAATCAGACACTGGAGTGGCTGAATTAACTGGATTCTATGGGATGGGCTCTGAAAAGGATGAAGTTGCGTATCTGGGAGTCCCAGGAGTCTATGTGGAGAGTCCCTCTGGGTTTTTGACCAGGAAGTGGGTAGACTTAGAAGTAGCATACCAGAGGTCAGTTGCTATGGGAACAAAACCACAACAGAGATATTAAAAATCAATTTGTTCAGAGGACTTTGGAGGTATAGCCAAAGTGAAGAAATCTTTTAATCACCTCCTTAGCGCCTCAAACATCCAGCTAAAACATCAGTGTAAGTTTTGCCCCAAGATTAAGTTATAGATTAAGACTAACTACATTTGTTTTAAACAATGCCTATTATGAGGCCCTGTTGAAATCTGCAGGGGAGATTTTAGATGAGTTCTAACAAATTAACTGAGCTTAGGAAGTATCTTGACTATC